GAGCACTACAAGAAATACGATGAAAAAAGTACCACCGTCTCCCTGTACAAGTCGTGTCTGAAAAACGTGCAGAATCATTGTCGCAGAAAAAAAGTAGGCAATCACTGATGAAACGAATGTCCGGTGTCAAGAAAATGAATGAATTAGAAGAATAGAAGGATTTGACTTGAATGTCATTTATATGAAGACATTTTATGATGCAGTCTGTGTTTCATCCCTTAGCTGTAAACACAGATCGAACTGTGCATGTGGGTAGGTGCGGGAATCATCAGCACAGCCTCCTACCCGCCATGTTTTGAATTGTCATGTAACTAATTTACAAGACGGATAAGCGAAAGAAACAGATGTCAGTGAAGGAGCACATAAAGTGAGAGAGAAAAGAAAGGAGTTAACATGTGATACGGACAATCATTATATGTAATTATTAGAAAACGCTTTTTATGAGGAGAAATTGCTGGTTTAATTCCTGAATCATCAGGGGAGATGAATTTGCTGAGTAATGATTGGTTCCTGAAGCAGAATCGGAGAACGGAGCGTTCTAGTTTTTCTGAATGTTCGACCATAACGCGTAATCAGGACGAGTTGCGGTCACATTTCGGTGCAAGAACCATGAAAGAAGAAATGTATATGAGGAAAGGAAGCAGAATTGGTTGTGTGGTGATGGTTACTAATAACAGATGAATGAAAAACAAATAGATGAATTGTGACTACAGTGTGAGTAAAGCGAAGTACGATAGCTATGGGTAAACTGAGCCGATCTACGAACTCGAATATATGAGGTGATGTGGAACAGAAGGCACAAGGCTGTGACGGATGGACAAGTCTCCGGTTGAATAGATCGCGAGTTATGCTACAAAAATAACAAATGTACCGGTATTGCGGGTGGGAAGAACTGAGGGAAAATATGCCAGGGCTCTGGCGATCTGTAAGCATCTCCGGTTCCAGTGCTGAATTTTCAGTAGAGGATTATGAGGTGTATGTGCTTAGGTTACGAGTATCAGCAGAACTATGAATTACTGGTGTATCTCAGTGGCATTCAGTCTATTTCAATTATATCGTTTTAGGAAAATAGCTGCTGAAAGAGTAGCACATGCGCTACCAGTTCCAGAATTAATCTAATATTTTTGGGAAAACTTTTTAAGTATTTGGAGAATTTTTTTTATTTTTTCCATGATCTGAATATTCCAGGTGTACAGTATTCCTTGATGTGCTTCTGTTTTGGACAAATGTTGTTTGGGCATACTGTCTGCAATGGCATTTGTGCTGCCGCCTCGGTTTGCTGAAATTTTGGACGTGGATAGCAATTTTGGTACTGGTTGGTGGTATATTCATGCTTCTTCCAATGTCGCATGTACAAGATAATCTTGACATAAGCTGGTGTCGTTTCACGCCGAACAGTACCCTTTCACGTTATCAGCCGAATTGGTAAATGCCGCGTTCTTCTAGATTTCAAGCGCAAATTAGAATTTTTTTGGTATTTGCGCGTTTTAAAATACTAACAAGAACATGTCTAAAGTTTTCGTTTGTATCATATGTTTCTGTATTGTACAAATTCATACGCATTATGGTGGTATTATGCATGCGGACATGTGTGTATGCATGTGTGTGTGTGTGTGTGTGTGTGCGTGCGTTTATGTGTGTGTATGTGTGTGTGCGCGCATTCTCACGATTACAGAAACTTGTAATTAGGAACATAACTTTTTACATAAACGGTGCTACGGATTTAGAATCAATCAAAATCAGTTTCGATCTGTAACCTAAGGTTTAAATTTGAGCCAATCGCGCAGCTTGAGGAAGGAAAGCAGCGGATCTGAAATATTAATGGTTTGATTTTCCAAAAAAGTTCTGTCCTACGACGTCAGCTCAAAATCAAGGCAAAGTTATGTTGCAGGATCGAAGAGCGCTTCAGTAAAAAATTTTTAAATTTTTTTTTGTTTTCAGTTCATTAGACATCGGAGCTAATTAACTCGAAAGCAGTTTCATATTTTAGTGTAGTTTGCGTTATGAACCTGAGTCCAAACCTGAACAAATTTCATAATTTGAGGATGTGACAAATGTGGGTTTGAAGTTTTCGGGTTCAGCTCTGTATATCGCATGCTGATTCATCAGAAGTAAGTTTCAAAATCAAATATAACTTGAATTATAAAACGAACAGATCCGTTTAAAAGGGGAAGAGCATCAAATTTTTAACATGGCATCGACATATAATAGCAACTGTTATCTTGCTAAATTAGCTCTTGTGAGTAAGAAACGCGCAAACGGGCTGTCTCTTTTTTGAAGCAAGATTTCGTGAAAAAAATCGGGTAGTTTTTTGTGGCATGTATTACTGATTTCCCACTAATTTTTGCGCCGTGTTCCTTTTCTCCTTTTTTCAGTTTTGTCCTTAATTTGCTTAAAATTTTATCTGATCTCCTTGCACTATGTCCTGCGAGGTGGTGGGTTGGGACGCTTTTTGATCAGTCAAATCCCATCGTACATAAATCTGTTCTCCGTAATGATACGGAGGCAGGCATTGAATATGCGCAGTATTACGTAAATGCACAAACATGTATTTTATCAGCATTCCTGCTTGCTGCTGAGGCGAATTCCCTTAATTCTCTTACTTTCTTGTGCTCTTATGCGCTTATGATACACTCAGGTGGACGTCTTTTTTCCTCCTAGATATTCTCAACAACTCAGTGTTCCTGATGCCATCCACTTGCATTCTTGGCCGCTGTCAGTGGTTGGTTACAACCATTTCAAAGCTGTTAAAAATATCTGGCCTAACCTAAAATTTTGCTTTTGGCCGATCACTGACGAGAAAACGTATGCGCGAAGCCACACTGTTGCTTCAAGTGGTGCTATGATGTAATTGTTGGAATGCCCTCCTCATCAACTGCTGACAAGAAGTGTGCTTGGAAGTCTTTTCATTTTCTGCGGTAGTTCGATCTCTCGACTGAATTTTCGGCAGTTTAATCCTCACACATCGATTTCGCTGAGGCTCCAATTCGATGTAAAACTTGAGTTTATACAGCTTCGGGAAGGCTTGCTACAGCTTACGCGGCTGTGTCAATGCTGTTGCGGGTGAGACGTAGTGGTTGGTGCAAAGGCCCCAATTTATCCTCTTTTCCAATAATCCCTTAATCTTTAATAAGGTTAAGGGATTATTGAAAAAGAGAATAAGTATTTGGTCCACGACGTTTAAGGAATCGTGTGGGTATGGTGTGCGAAACTCTGCTCGCTTCGTAATTTTACATATAACTGCCGCAGAAGGCGGAATAGGTTTCTGGGAGAGCGCATCGATTAGCATAGCCACGCAAGTTTGCGTCAGATTTTCAGTGTGTTGATATTTTGGGCTTTACTGAATGTTTAGTATTGCACCCCTGCGGTTTTATAAGGATCGTATTGCGATCCATCAGGTCATATAGGAAGTCAATACGCCCATGTTTATTTTGTCTGCCACTTTTTATCATTTTTCTGATGATCCTTTCTAAAAGCAAGGCTGACAATGCGTTCAATTGCTTCTCACTTTCGTTTTAATAACAGCATGCCGTTTCGTCATTGAGATTGAATAATAGTTTTCTTCCACCACGTTCTTAGGACGTTGTCAACGTTACGGGCGCATTTGGACGAAGTGTTGGTTAATTAAAAGTATCGCGCATTTGGCGACGTATCCAGTTGTTTCTCGATGTAAAGCTGATGACGGCATGTCGTTTCGCTTCATTCAGCCACGATTTCTTGTCTTTCACTTTCCTGGCTAAGATTTTTCAACAGTGCCGTTTCTCCTGTCAGTAAATTAGCTCACGCAATAATCTTGTAGGGGCTGCTGTTGGGTTCCGCGTCCATTCTCTGTGCTACTCAGCTGTCCACTCAACCTCGACTGCTTAAATTTCCGGTCCAAAAACCGTTATTTTGGAAGGTTGATAACCACCGCATTTGATAACCCCGAGAATTGAAGACAAAAATTGGTTTAGCTGTTCAAAGTGAGCATCTAGCGTAGCTTTTTAAATGC